GAGATTACCGTGATTAGAAAGGCAAGAGCATCGAAATTCAAAATCTCCTTTTTTTTCTGAAAATTTTTGTACGAAAGTCGTAATAGTAGCCCCTTCATAATACAAGCCCCCCCTAAAAATTTTGAACGCTTGGACAGTTTAGAAGCCCCGGAGGCTTCTATTATGGGGGGGGGGTTTATCTGCTGTATATGTTTTTATATTATCAAATAACGGCCGATTACTATTTATCAACCAAGTGTGTGATTTAAAAATCGCTTTCTTATACATATATATGTTCGTAGTGCGAAGAAAGAAAGGAAATAATTTGAGGTATGAATATAATATTCAAAAATGCTCTGTCATACTTCCCGGGTAGCGCGGAATAAATGGAAAAAAATAATTTTCATATTTTGATGTAGGGAACAAAAGTTTGAAGATGCGTTAATTCATACTCTTTTTTTTGCTTTAAAGCCGGTTCAGTTTGCTGTGATAAGACGGATCGCGTTTGATATTGAAGGACTAAAATAAGGCGAAGCAGACACAAACGTTGAATACTTTTTAGCATCCATTGTAGAATTAAACAAAAAGAGCTTTCGACTCATCCGAGTCAGCATCAGCAAACATTAAATAAAACTACCGATTGCTTCTAAAACACACGTGCATATGTATATTTTTTCGTTATTTTTCTTTTCCGTTCCGCACGCATCACCTGAGAATGTCCTAGAATCATGAGTCATTATCTATCGTCTATCTTTTTCTTTTCGTACGTTCTTTTACTCTCAAAGCTTTCTAGAAATATACATAATGGTACGGAACGATTAGATTGAGATATCGGAACCGGGGATTTTTATCTGATTCGACAGTTCTTGACAATATTTGGGTGCTGTTCTGTGGTTACAGATGAAAGATGAGGGAAAATTGGTTGTAAATTTATAAGAGCACTTGTTACTTGACTGTGTTTGGTCTGATAGACATTTGTCATAATCGATACTTACTATATGTACGCCAAGGCTAAACGCTTTTACATATCGTTGATGGCTCAGTTTCCTATTGGCTTTGACCAACACTCGTACTATCTTCCCTTTGGCTAAACTCGCGTTGATTAGTCGTTCATTTTCCATCGATATAGAATCTTTAACGACAACAACAGCCGAATACGATTGTTCGATGTTTGACTGTGCAATGAAGAAGAAACGATGTGAAGCATCGGGCGACGATGTTAAACAAGAAAGTTGATCAGCTCTGTTATGTGCATCATCTAGATAAACAGGAATTATTTTACCCAGACAAGATGTTAATGGTAACCAACCATATCCGTAATAATTGAAATCACCTTTTGACTCATCGAAATGCTGCTGATTCAATGCCTCGGTCAGACTTGAAAAGTGTTGTTGAATTTGATCGGGTAAAATAAAATGATTAATGTCAGAAAAAATATTTAATAACTCATCTTTTATCAACTCGAGATCTCGACATTTCACACCAGTTAGACCAGTTCTCACATCTTCATGTATCATACTTTTGATCTCGATAAAAAGAAAGACAGGAAAATGATGGATGTGCTGTTGATGCCAATTTAGAATTTGAATAAGACAGTCTTGAAGACAGAAACATGTTGTATGATCATCAACCAATTGTAAATGATAAACAGTGAATCGGCGATCATCTTTATCTGACAAGATATGAATATCGAGTTCTAATTGTCTTATCATACCATTCAGTTGTGATGAGAGTACCGATGTGTAACTGTTATGAGAACCGAGCAGTTGAAAATGATGGAGTTTCAACTGATTTGTCTCTTCGGATAAAGTCATGTTCGGTTGATTGAAGTATACAGCGGAAAAAGGTGTTCTTGGACACTGTGAATATTTGTATTTGAAATTAATTGCAGTACACCACGAAACGACGAAAAGAAGCGAAATAATTAATAGAGAAAATAAAATGTTGCGAAACCATCGACAATCTTTAGACTGACTATCGAAACGATGCCTACCACCGAACAGAATGTCTTTATCTTTTATATTATAATTTAGAACTCTCTCTTCATCTGTAAGTACACGGGCACATTTTTTTCTACTGTATACCATTTTATGTTCCAAAAATAATTTTTATGTTTTACTTCAACACAAGAATAACAAACTCCGATGTTTTTTCATTCTTCTTTTATTCATAAACGGAAAGAGTAATATAAGTTTTCAGCCATAATATGCAAAGTTTTTTATTAACAAGTATAAATCTATTCATTAACCCTCAAAAATAATATCAAACCTATTCTTTTTCTTCCACTTTAGAACAAAATTATTTGATTAATGTCAAGCAGTTGGTTGATTCATAATTGAGCGTTGTGTATGAAAATCGAAATTGCCACGTAGACTTGAAATGAAGTTTATCGCCAATTATTCATCTATGCGTAACTGACAAAGAAAGAGAACATATTTACTCACTAATACATGTACTCTGTATACAAAAAAAAACATGTGTTTTATGGACACACTGAAACAGCACATCACTGTTGACAGTACTGACACTTGAAAGATTGCACACTGACAAACACACTTTTTTTTGAATGTGCTTCCCTTCGGTTATGTATAGATAAATAACTGAAGATTAATTCTAGTAGTAAATAGCATATACATATCTTTCTTGTAGTTTTGTTTTATTTGTGATACGAAAATAATGGTGTACAAAAGTTCGAATCAATTCATTAAATCGTGAATTTCATAGAAATATAGAGATGTTCTTTAGCTCAGATATCGAATGTTAAATACTATGATTTTACCTTCATTTATATTTATTCATGTGTATATTTTACTTGATTATTCTATTAGATTGAGATATCGAAACCAGTGATAACGGATGGCCCATAAAGAATGGCGGTCTTAGTATTTCGTGAATATCTCATGCAATTTTTACCGCTCAGACCTCGCCTTTTTTCAAGGATTCCTCATTCAATTCTGTACAAAAACGTGTGAAAAGAGTTTGCACAAAATGAAACCGTGAAACTTTATCTGGTGAACACTGGTGTGCTCCGAAAAGGCCTGTTTCAAACGCATGTTTTTACAGTAGTAATTTTTTTTCTCCTTCTGACTAATAAAGTGCCAAATCACTGTGATACACATTTCTCGCTGTTTTCAAGTATGCTCTTTCTCATGGCATTTGAAATGAGTCGCTTGGATAGTATTACAAAATTTCAGGAACAGTTTGCCTTGAAAAATGAGCTGGAATAATTCAATATTTGGTTCTTACGCACAATTTGTTGTCAAAACTAACTGAACACCGATAAAGTCGTTTAGCGATGATAGAAAGAGCATTTTTCTTGGAACTGGCAAAGATTCGACTGTGAAAAGTTACGTTTTGAGCTAACCGCATGAAGGTTACAGAGAAGTCCAATATAGAGATGTGCACGGGTACGATTTTCATACCCGTACCCAACCCGAAAATTTCATTTTTACCCGTACCCGACCGTACCCGCAACATTGTACCCGTACCTGGAAACGCAAACGTGGTAAAACAATACATATATATAACTTTATCTACCAAAGAAAAAAATAACAATAGACAATATCAGTTTTCATTGAAATTAAGCAAGAATACCAGAGAATCAACAGATTCTGGACTTAATAATTGTCTTCGGGGCTCTAATATTCTTCCTGTTCCACTAAATATTCGTTCAGCTGTGGCTGAGCTGGCTGGAACTGCTAATAATGATAGTGCTAAACATGACAATTCTTTATAAATTATTGAACGATCTTTCCACCACGTTAAAATATTTCTACCTTTTGGATAAATGAATTTTGTTTTAATATATTCATTTATTTCATCATATGGTTCATCATCTTCGTCATCTGTTGAAGATGCGTCTTTACTACCAAACTCTCGTAATATTTCATCAACATTGAGTTTATCTCTTTTGGCTCGCTTATTTGGATTTTTCTTATGAGTTGGTGTTGTGGCTGTTGTTGATGCAAACAGTGCTTCTTGATCAATACCAAGTGTTTTTATCATCTTTCTTACACTTGCAACAACTGCATTACGTTCTGATTGTGTAAGAGACTGAAAAAAGAACATGCATCTTACTCTCGATTAGATAATTAATATTTTAGACTTACAGATAATGATTTTGTTTCTGGATGTAAGAAGGAACAAATAACAAATATAATGAATTTCAGATAACCATATTTTTTCATCCAGTTTTCGTAAAAGAATCCCTTTCAGTTTTGTTGTAGCTAATTTTTCACTATTTCTTGTTACACAGCATTGTTTAAATTTTTTGAAAAACCGTAATACCAAATGTAAAGTCGGCGTATCATCAGCTGATAATGGTTCGCTACCAATTTTAAATGTTGATAATAAATCTGCTACGTCTTTGGCCAATGTATGATTAATATTATCAAGAAAATGCTCTTCATTTCGATTGAGCATTATATCCTCAACTTCACGAAAATTAGGCCAAACCGATTCAAACATTTCGTACGTGGAATTCCAGCGTGTCACAATCGTGCTGTAATGTTGTGTCTAATAAATGCTGAAGTTCACAACGTTTAAAATGTGTTACCAACGTTCGACACTCATTTTGTAATTGGTGAATTTCTGGAACAGATTCAATTGCTTGGTGAACAGTTAAATTAATACCATGGCAAAAGCAACGAAGATGAGCTTCGCCTATAAATGCTTTAACTAAATTTGCACCATTATCTATTATAAATATAATGTGACATTTATCGGAATCAATACCGTACAAATTCAACGTAGCTAATATAGCATTCCATGTATTTTCTAGAATGAAACCACTCAATCTGTCAATCAAGCAGTAGAAAAACTGTCTTGTGCGTGGCTTACCACCAGTTTTAGATGCCCTAAATAGCAGTGTTTTTAACATAACATTCTGTATCTATCCATTTTTGCCATAATGCATGTTAATTGTTAAATAACTTTCACAAGAATATTTATTTCTCCAGTAGTCACATGTGATGCCGAATAATTCAGCATTTTTCAGATCAACTTTTAACATTTCAGTAAACTCTAACCGTTTTCCTAAACATAAAAGAAATTCAACGGTAAAGACAACGTTTTTAGGTGCGTTTATGCTCACCATCAGCTAATGAGTTAACACGTCGTGCAATTGTTGTACGATCCGGTAAAATATCTGATGCTATAATTCAATGACTTTGAGAATGACCAGCATCTAATAACGCTTGGCATAATATTTGAAATCCTTGACCGTTCACGATATCAAATGGACGCATATCATACGAACAAAATTTTGCGCATGCTTCAGTGACTGATCGTCTTAAATCCATTGAGATGTTGGCAGTTATATCATTTTTGAAATGTGTGGTTATCTTTGGGATAACACCACCACCTTTACATGTTTCAACGTGTAACTTATGTGAATTACTTCCAGTTTTCTGTGCATCATAAGATAATATTGATTTGCATTTAATACATTAAACAAATGGAATAATCTTTTGTTAATCATCCTGGATACGTTGAAACGAATTCCACCATGTTGCTGTGCCTGTTTCAGGTTTATTACAGGTTTGAAATTGTCTGTTGTCCAACTTAACTTTAATATCATTTTTTTCTTTGCCTTTGTCTTTCGCTGGAGTACTCATTCTTATAATCACTGGTTATGATAGAAAGGAGTAGTCCGCATAAGGCTTGAAATCCGCCCACTAAATTATTACTATTTTATTGGCTCAATCTATCCAGAATTCATCAAACTTATCTTATTCAGTGCCTTCG